TATATATATAGCATTACGGAACTATTTACATGGTCATTGAATTAGACTCATACCGAATATAGTATTGAAAAGTCAAATATTCAGCGAACACCGCTTCAGTTATTATCATTACTTAATAGGTACAACTACTCAAAATATAAATTGAAAATTTAAATTATACTTTTTTCCTTACCATTGTCCATGTTCTTTTATCCACAGGATTGAAATGGTCAACCCTTTGAGTTATATTAGCCCACACGGGTGAACTAGTTCTACCTATGGGAACTTTTATTGGGGGAGGTCCATGCCGGTTTCGAAACGTTTTACTCTAAAAATGTTAAATTTAATTGCATTCATGTTAGATATGTATATCAGACTAAAACTTATTTTCATTTACCTCTGCCGCAATAACAGAAATTAGTAGAACTAGACTAGATAATGCTATCATTTTAACAGTATTTTGATGAATGTTGTAAATACTTTTCAATAAGTGATGAAAAAAGCCAAATGAATAGGAATGTAAAATTAAATTAACGATAAGATTAATTTTTATTATGAAATTGTAGCAGATTTACCGATAGAGTCGCAGACGCGACAGATCATGTTCGGCCTAAGACCGCTTTCACACAGAGCGATAACGGCACGATTTACTTCATGCAGTAAATCTCAACGACACAAAAGTATGTACAAAATAAATGTATTTAAAGCGAACGCTTTCACTTTGATCCGATCCTGTATTAAAATCGTTGAAGTAAAAAATGTCGCAAATACATTCCGATTTGTATTAACAAATCGTGCAATAAAAATGCTGCACGACACGTATATTTAAAGTAACCAAATGTACGCTTTCACACGTCTCGTCAACTTATCGTTTTCCATGGTTGCCGATACTTATTTCCACCGCACGGGTATGATATGCAAGTAGTGCTAAGCGCGACTTGCAGCCATTAACATGTCTTTCTCAAAGAAAAAAAACGTTTAATTACCAAATAGTCGATTCAATAGAATTACTGTTTCTCGCTCCATTAAATACATACTTACAACTAAACCAGACAACACTTCGAGGATTGCTACGCTTGCATTTCAATTTGGAACGGCGTTCGATACGGTACGACAAGTCGCGTTCAGTAAATCGTGTTGGTATCGCACTGTGTGAAAGTGGCCTAAATGAGTATTTACTTGATAGCAGCAGAGAACACTCGTAAATAACGAAATTTTTATTTTATAAGGGTAAATGTACTTACTAAAATTCGGGGTACTTACGTATTAACACCACTGCAGCAAATATTTCGCTAATGCACCAATCGACACCTTAAATTGTTGTGACAAATCATAGAATAAAAAACCTTATGTAAAATCAAAACCTTTTCAAAATTCAAAATATTTTATTTATAAAAAGGAGTCAGATTTCGGTGGAAAATGGTCTGAAACAGAATTTAACATAGATTCAAAACAGACAGTATTTAATTTTGCTTGGAGCGTCGTATTTCCTATTGCATTATTTTTGTGTTTCATTTTTTTTTTATTATCGAAACTGACAATGCAAGACGCCTTTTCTGTTGTCTGCCATCTTTCAAAAAAACAAATAGGAAGAAAGAAGTTAATGATAGAAAAATTAACTTTTAATAAATGATGAGATACTTGTTTATTTATTGATTCAGTTATTTATTCGTTCGTTCATTTGTTATTTACTTATTTATTTTTAAAGTGAAACTTTTATTATATCGCCTCAAATTTATCTGTCTGTCGCATTACAGCCGGCCGCGAAGTAGGGGTAAAAGTGAAAGGCGCCCATGGCATGCATGACCTAACCGTGTAGCATTTATATTCTCACTCATTCGTGCAAGTGCATGACTATTACATTTATAGACTGTGAAACTCAAAGCGAAGATGAAATTACTGATAGAATAACTGAAGTTCAAAATGATTGAATGATTTAAATAAATATTGTTTTTGTTATTATTATGTATTTATTATGTATTTCGTACTCTCATAATCAAATTGAAATTAAAATTTGTAGTTGAATATCTTGTCTACTATTGGTTTCCCATTTCCGATTTTAATTTTAATACCCTAAATCCAATAATTTTCCGAAGAGTTACAATTAAATGTCTACAATCGGAAAAGCTTCATAAAACCATACGACATATATTTAGTATTATGAAACTGATTTGAATAGTCGCTGAATTAGACCCACACTGTGGCACATGATATAAATGCAGTGTACTCTTTATAACGTCATTCGATTTAACGACAAACTCCTTAAAACGTCGAAATTGCTTGACTTTGGTTGATTTATATGGTTTTCTATATAATATTACACTCTATACAGCGTCACGCTCACTCCATTTAACGACAACAATGCGGCATTATAAATCATTGAGCAGTACTTCCTAAGTTGCCGAAATAGATAAGAACTGTACTGTGTACGTTGTTGAAGAAGATGATCCTGTCCCTCCACCAACCATCAAACAAGCACTTGATGCAGCGAAACTATTAAAAAAATACTTTTTATATAATTAAATTGATCCAGCAGTATCTCAAGATATGAGTAAGATACGTAACAAAATACAATTAAAATATTGGAGCAGCAAAAAACATCAGACGAAGATAACAGGCTACACGCAATGTACGAATACTAACGTTCGTGAGCAAAATGTGTACTATATTGGTAAATGCATATTATTATAGAATAGTGAAATAATATCTTTTATTTTTCTCCATTTAACGATCACTCTTTATAACGCCGAAAAATATTCGGTCCCTTAAGTGTCGTTATATAGAGTTTACACCGTAGTACTAAAATTCTAGTTACCATCTTCTATGTTCTTTTATCCACAGACAGGACTGAAATGATCAACCGTTCAGATTATGCTAGCCCACAGGGGCAAAGTATTTCTATCGTTGGGAACATCTTTTGGGGGAGGTGCATGCTAATTTCGAAATATTTTACTCTAAGCAAGTTAAAGTTAATTTTATTTAGGTACGTTACATTACAATAATGGTCATTATTATTTACCTCCCCAACAATAACACACGTTAACCGAAATAGACTAGATAATACAGTCATTTTAACAATATCTAAGCGAATGACGCAAGTACTTTTCAGCAAGTGATGGGAAAAGCTCAACGAAACGGAATATAAAATAAAATTAACAAAAAGATTATTTTTTACTATTAACATTAACATTCACATTGTCACGATTTTTTGACCGTCGCTATACACCGTCTTCTTGCACGTTTTTTTGACCCGAATATCACTTTATTTCGTTTTCGAATCATGTTATCGTTCCTTACATATATATGGTGATTCACGAAGTTTTCTCACCGCTCAAGGAGTGTGTTCTGGTGGTCACTTTAAGCAAAAAAGTTTATATTAGTATAGGTCCGATTCTCAAAAATAGTTGTGACGAATTATAAATTTTACGTTCATGAAGTTTATGAAGCTCAATTCACCAGAGACGTCGTAAATAATTCACACCTTTGGTCTGAATCCAAATTGTACCATTGACAGCAACCTTCAGCATCGTTTTAGTTTAAATGTGTAGTGTGGAATAATCGACAACCATATGATTCAACTATTTATTTTTGAGGGTCACCTTAATTCGTTTATATAAGTTTACCTACATTTCATAAAGGAAGAACTTCTGCATCACACGAGGGCGGTTCAATAAGTACCCGTGTTAGAAATGAAGACATCTTTTTTTTTTTAATTTTTCAACATAGTCCCCTTTTAGAAAGATACACTTCTCCCAACGTCCCTGCCATTTTCTTTCCTCTTCTAAAATAAAATTTGTCGAACTCTCCAAAATTCCCCCTGTCTTGGCGATGACTTCCTCGTTTGAGCTAAATTTTCTTCTCGCGAGTCATTTCTTTATGGTAGGAAACAAGACGAAGTCGCAGGGAGTCAAATCGAGTGAGTACGGGGTGTGCGGTAGCAGTTAATAACGTAATTCATGCAGTTTGACGGCAACAACTCCTGATGAATGTGCCGGTGCGTTATCGTGTTCAAAACGCACCTTCTTTTTCGTTAAATGCGCCCGTGTCTCCTTCAATTTTTTGTCGAAGCGGTCCAATAACTCACTGAGTATCGTCCAGTGATCGTTTTCCCTTTTCCTAAAACATCCGTAAAATGATTTCCTCGGTAACAACGTTTGCCAGGCTTCCTGGTCGCTCCTATCAAAAACGGATCATTGCCCACGTTTAAATTCGTTGAAGCAATATCTTACTGTGGTCGTAGATGGCGAAATGTTTCCATAAGCAGTATTCAACTTTTTTCACCTTCTCGCATTTTTTCCCATCCAAAAACAAAAAGCGAGTTACCGAACGATACTGCTCTTCCTCCATCTTAGCGAAAATAACGAAACACGTCTCAGTCGAATGGCTGCCAAATCCAAACTAACCTATCAATCAGTCTCAAATTCGTTTTGGCGTGGTTTGATAGATGGCAGTACACGATGACATGACCAATTTCCCTCAGGAACGTCCTCTGTCTTCAAACACGGATACTTATTGAACCGCCCTCGTATGTGGAAGATCTGCCCTTGAGACATGCCATGTAGAGTGACGGGAAAACTTCGTGAATCACCCTGTATTTATATGAATTACCTTTGGCAGTATTTTACAAGCTTCCGCTCCTCTATTGTTTTATATTTGAAATTTCCTTCCTTGTTCAGGAAGATTGTATATCTACAGACAAATTTCACCAATCGGAATCTTTGTTGCAAAATCTATTATTTATTATTGCATCAGCGGATGGTAAATCCCGTAAGTAATATGGATCCACCGGTGCTTATTTTTTGTGTATTTTTAAATCATTTGGCACTTACTTTCTGGATTAAGTATGTTCTCTGTATTTTCGGATGAATCAATGTTTTAAGTAGTTCGAGGAGGTGCCTTTCGAAATTGACTTAAACATATATCTACTAAAATGTCTAAAAATTCACAAAATTAATCGCCACTGATTTTACTAATTACTAATCAAACACTAGACTAGACAAATTCATGTACATAATAGACTAATTAATTTTAATTTTACAAGGATGTAAGGTATTAGAAATAATAAATGAAATAAAGTTGCTGTGATGATCGTTATTGTTGCACGTGATCCTAAAATATTTATTTTATTTCGGCCAACCATTTCGCTATTGTTGCACGTATTGTAAGTTTTGTTTCTCTCAACTGCTTGGTGTCAGTTTCTGACAGGGAAGGGAGATCGGCAGAGTGGGATGCACCTAAGTTAAAAAAACAAATATTGAACAATAAAACAGTAGAATTTGATTGGATAAGAATTACTCAATTTACCCATTCGTTTCTAATACTACATATATATGAAAATGTTTGATTAAATGAAAGCGTTATTAATTGCGATAGTGTTAACATAAAAAATTATCCTTTATAACGTTTAGGTGGTAGAAAAATCACGAATCACTAATGATAAAGCAGACTTTATGCCCTAAAATGTTAGTAACATTTATTATTATTTAAGAATTTACCA